ATATATATATATATATATATATATATATATATATATATTCGTTGGCTAACAACGAATTGTTAGCCAAGTCTAAAGTTCTTACTTGGGCATCGAGAGCAAGCACTGGAGGGGAACTGCCAAGTAGCTGCCACCCCCAGGGCTGAGGTGGCTGTAGCGCCAGCAGGCTTAGAGCGGGTAAACGAGAGCCCTGAAGCCCTCAGTGGCTTTTTCAGGCTGATCTTTCTACACTATTTGTGGTGAGGCAACCAGGTGCAGGGCAGGCTGGGGGCCAGGAGTTAAAAATCAGGCCACTGCCTCTGTGGCCAGTATCGAATTTCAGGGCTGGGAGGTCATCGGCCTCCCTGCCTGCTGTGTCTGTGCAGGCCTGATTCAGCATTGATGCCTGTAAAATCTATCGAGACTCCAAGATTCTCTGCACCCATTTGTGAGGTCCGACAATGAACCCTTGAGCGCCTTCTGGTTTCACCCTCTTGCCGTCAGACCTGCCTATCCTCCTGTGTTTGCCAGGAGGAACTTCCAAGATCATTCAAGCTACAGTCAGTGCCTGGCCTGCTGTCAGGGGGACAGCAAACCCGGGTATGCTTGGAACCATTCCCACGATGCCCGTCCCTTCCCTGCAGTCCTCTTCACTGCCCACTGGCCCCTGCCTCCCAGTTTCCCAGCCTCTGCTCTTGTGCTTCTCAGCCAGCACCTAAGTAGTGCAGCTCCATCCCTGGGCTAGGTCAGGGGAGCCTTTCCTGTCAGTCTGAATGGGAAGTGCTCACTGACTCTAATGTCAAGGGGGTACCTGCATGGCTGACAGCACTCACTTCTGTGTCTCTAGCCCCATGCTCAGCACCTTCCCCAACACCCCAAGTGCTTTCTTGCCTCCAACATTCCCACACCTTCCCTTTCCTTGAAAGTTCCCAATTATTCTTCAAGACCCAACATTGGCAACAATCTGGGATGTGGCTACTCTGACCTCAGGAGTGTGAAATCAATAGCTAAGAGCACATGTTTGCTTTACTTTCAGTGTAAACAACAGAAATCGATTTTCTCACAATTTTGGAGTCTGCAAGACAAGATCAAGGTGTCCACGGGTTTGGTTCTTCTGAGACCTCCCTGGAGGGGGCTGCTTGCTGGCCTTCCACAGTCTCTTCCTGCAGGCACTGGGTGCTCCCCAGTTGTTGTTGTTGTTGTTATTGTTGAGGCAACACCGGTTTACATTGATCTACTGTGTGTGATCCAGAGGTAAAGCCCACACCCTTAGGTGTAAGTCACCCCACCACACCCACCACCCAGAAACCCACAGGCCTCATCACAGCCCACTGGCCCCTCCGTCTTCCTCCCTGGTGATCTCAATTCTACAGTCAGATTTCTAGAGTTTATTATTGGCTTGACTTTGACCTTTTATTTTGTTTCTCTATGTTCTACATGTAAGTGTCTTTTTCCTTCTTACTTCACATAGCATTTTCTTCTCCAATTGTATGCATGTTGTTGCAAATGGCAAAAATTCATCCCTTTCTATAGCTAAGTAGTATTTCATGTGTCCAATACCACATCTCCCTAACCCAGGCCTCTGCCCGTGGGCACTCAGGTTGCTTATGTACCCTGGTTATTGTAAACAGCACTGTCATGAGTCAGGGCTGTCGATATCCCTGGGAATTAGTGCTTTTGCGTAAGCCCGAATGTTTTAGTCTCAGCTCTATCACTCACAACATCATGTAGTGTTGGGCAGATTGCTTAGTCTATATTGGTTTTAAATCCTCATCTGTAAATGAAGATAATACCTGCCTCAGAGGGTGGGTACACCAGCCGGTAATGTACTTGCACTTCCCAGTACAGGGCCAGGTCATGGGCATCACGCAATGTCTAACATCAATGTATTTCTTCTCCATCACTGTGGGCACAGCATCAGGAGGCACCGGCTACACGTATTTTTCCACAATGGTTACTACCACAGATGGTATACCACAAGCGCTAAATAAACAGTGTATCAAATGACAAAGGTGTGGTCCCTGTTCTAGACCTTAGTCTATTGAGTTGAAAAACTAACCTTACTTGGAAATTTTGTTTTTATCTTTTTATCTCTCCTGAACTTTCACAATGGAGGATAGGTTGTTTTAAATTAATTTCTAAGGGGTAAGTGATTTAGTACAGATTTTCCCCCCATAATCTGCAAGCTAGAATTCTTCACTTATCTGACCTCCCATTTTGCACAATACAACCTTTTTTGTTTTTTGGTATTTATTGAGAACCAGGCAGCAGTCTTGGTACTGAGGAGAGATTCAGGAATCTCTACTCTGGCCCAGTACACATTTAATACTATGTCAAGTGAAGGAAGGGAGGAAGGGAGGAAAGACGGAGGGAAGGAAGGAAGGAAGGAAGGAAGGAAGGAAGGAAGGAAGGAAGGAAGGAAGGAAGGAAGGAAGGAAGGAAGGAAGGAAGGAAGGAAAGGAGACATACAGGAAGGAGAATACCCTCTATGCTGGCTGATTTCACTATATACTCCCCCATCTCCACCTTTACAAATATTTAAAAGTGGAGGTTTTTAAAGACCTATTTCAAACACCATCCTTCCACAAAGTTCTAATGACCCTCCACTTAGAGTGACTAATCTCCCAGTGCATGTACAGTCAAAACACTCAATATGTTTCATGCCTACTTCTGTCCCACTGTGGGAGACATCTGGTCTACCTCTGATTCCCATGGACTATGTCCTCTGAGACAGGAGGCTGCCACCACCTCCATACCCCTCACTGTATGCAGCTTAGCTCAAGACACATAGTTACCTAACATTTGGTTTTTTGGGGGTTTTGCTGCAGTTTTGGCTGTTATCCAGATTTTTAAAAATGTCCTCTTTTAACCCTAATTGGAATATTTGTACCACATACAACAGGATTGTCATCACTATCATCACATACACATAAATATTATGATTAGAGAGGTTGTAAAAACCATTGAAAAAATGAATTTCTTTTGATAAACTTTATGGGGGAAAAACACAACCACAAAATCAACTTATCTTTAAAACTTCTTCTGTGAAGGTAGAGAAATGCCATAAAAAATACAACATATTTCTGAAACCTTAATTTCCTGTGAGTCATCCTTGGGGAAATACAATATGAGAAGAGTCAGCACAGATTCCAGATGCGAAGCCTCCTTGAAATACCCTCAGAGTTGCGTGAGTATATTCTCTGAGTTGTTTGTTGTTTATTAATCTATACAAGGTCTGGAAAGAAATGTTTGACCCTTCCTGGTCCTCTTCTTTCTCCAAGTCCTCTTATCTTAAGTGTCCACTGTAAATTTCCCTAAATAATGAGTTTTTGTTTATATAATCCAATAGCAAGAACTGAGAACATTCTGTGAGTCACTTCTTTAAGTCATTTGCTTTTGTAGGAATAGATGTTCAGTCTGTTTTTTATTCTGTGTAATTGATTGTAATTGACCTATAATTGATTCTGTGAATCAATTACATACAACTGCAAAGAAACAATACATCATGGATACAGAGTTTGGCATTAGGAGCTAGATTTCCTGGTTTTTTTTTTTTTTTTTTTTTTAAGAGGGACATGGAACACTTTTTAATGTCAAGTCAGAGACAACCCCCCTCCCTTAGCCCCCAATCCCACTTTCCCTCATCACATCCAGGACCCCTCCCCGAGGCCTCTCTGGTTCCCAGACTTCAGGGGAGGAAAAAAGTTTACCTAAAAACTGCGTTTTCTTCTCTTTCATACACACGCATACGAAGGTGGGAAATTAAATAAAGTAAACCAAGAAGATTCAATTCTCCAGTGGTCCCAAAGGCATCAGAGATTCCCATAATGGGCTAAAGCAAGTAGTTATGGACTGTTTAGTTGGTTTAGTTGCTTGCCGTTTGTTAATGCCCGAGGCGTGATGGAGAAGCAGGCTGCCTGTCGTGGCCTTGGCCTCCGAGAGCCACACCTGGAAAAGATGCTGAGCCTGGTATTAGTGTTTGGCTTTTTCTTTTCACTTTTTATAAATGTCTCTGACATGTAAATAACCCAAGAAAATAAAAAGGCAGGAGCTGATTACACAATTACCAGTAAACTCTACCATCTTTTAGAAGATCAACACACAGCTAACGCCATATACAGCATGCAGTAATGTCTGAGCAAGGACCCTGCTGGGAAAGAAAATGGCTAGAACTCTAACAAAAAAAATATATGTATATATATATACTGTATAATATATGTCATCAAAAGAAGCATAGCTAACAAACTCAAGATACAATGCAGCTCACCTTTCCATTTCTAAACAGCATGTAGAAGCATCGTATTGTCTGCATTAAATACCAGAATAAGGAGAAACCTGTAGCGCTGGTGGAGATGTTGGTTAAATTGTATGTGGTGGTTTTGTGTGTGTGTGTGTGGTTTTTTTTTTTTTTTTTTTTTTTTTTTTTTTTGGTGGATGTGTGAAATCCTCACCGGGTGGTTAATGCCCGGTGCGTGGTACACCAGTTGTAAACCTAGTTAAGAAATACACTACTTGTTGTTAATATTGAACAAACATACTTCTCTTCACCCCTTTCAGTTGTGTATTTTTTAGTTGTGCCTTGTTTTTGCACTAAGTTCTAGACTCATATCAGAAAATATAATTAATAAAATTAATAATGAATCAGAATTCCTTATTATCCAGAATGTCCATGTAGTACAACAACAACAAAAAAAGTTTAACACTATCTTTTGTGACTGTTGATTGTGGGATTGTTGTAGCTGGCAGGCTGTCTTGTTTTGTTTCCTTTTTCTTTATTTTTTTTTTTTTTAATTTTGCTTTCATCACACATTATAGTGGCACAGTCTACAAAAGGGCCTGCAGCAGCCAGTCTGGGCCTGCTCGACACACTCTGTGCTCATCTCAGGAGACGGATTGAATTGGGGATGGCCGATTCCAGAATTTTCCTTGATGGGGGCACGTTAGTGGACAGAGTGGCTGAGCCCTCGCCCACGGCCACAGAGAGGTCACACAATGCAGCTTGCAGGCAGGTCCAAAACCGGGCGCGCGTTCTTCCCACTTGGGAAAAGAAAGAAAACTCAGCTGTGCCTAAATATTTGCAAGGCCTGGACGGCGATTTTCGATTTCCTCTTACAACTTTTTTTCCCAAAGTATTCTTTGTTCCCCTCCCTCAAATTCGTGTCCCATTAGGCTCTGCTTCTCTGAATTGCATTTGATTATATCTTATTTAGAAACGGGAAAGCTCTTGCTGCTGTCAGAGTTGCCGGCGCTATTCTGTTGGTGGGTGCAGTGGCGGCAGCTTCTCCCCAGCGGGGAGGTGGCATTCACATCAAAACTGGAGAAGGAGGTGCAACACCAGAAGGGGTATCAGCCAAATGCAGCCTGCCCTCCTCGACGTCCCATTGTTCACTTCGCTGACGGCACCCGGGCCTTTCCAACGGGTCAGAGCTGTAGTTTTCACTTCAAAGAGTGTGATGCTGGCATTGGTATGGCCCAGCTTGTTGGAGGCCACACAAGTGTAGTTTCCATAGTCATGTTCAGAGACATTGAAGAAGATGAGTTTTGAGAGGAAAGGCCTGTTTTCCACTTTGACGCCCTTCTTTCCTTCCACCAGTCTTTTGTCATCCTTGTACCACTGGAATTCTGCAGAGGGAACTGCTGAGGCTTCACACTGCAGTGTTCCCTTCTGTCCCACAGGGACGCCTGTACCCTTAGCTCCTGAAATGTATGGTGGATCTTGACTCTCCGGACCACTGGCGCTGCCACATCATTGGAGGCACTGCACTTGTAGTCCCCCGACAGCTCCCGGGTGATGCCCTGGATCTCCAAGTATTCATCTTCACTCACAAAGCCCACAGCTTTGGGGGAAATGTGTCTCCAGGTAACTGTGGGCTCTGGTCTACCTGTTGCTATGCAGGTGAGGCTGATATTGTTCTCTTCATTAATGGAGATAACTGAAGAAATCTCTACAATTTTGGGAGACACTTGCACTATGAGGTGCAACCTCGAGGTCTTGGGGTGGTTGTCCGTCTGTACGGAGTAGGTGTAGGGCCCTCATCATACACGTCCACATTCTCGATCTCAATGCTGTACTGGGTTTGGGTGTTGCTCAAGAGGACCACGCGAGGGTCCAGGCACCACTTGTCATTCCCGGCGTAGAGGATGGTGCTGCGGTTCAGCCAGGCCACCCGGGTGACCTGGTTGTCAATTGTGCACCCGATCCGACGACCTGGAAACCCAAAGTCACTCTCAGAGCTGGCCGGGCGCTGCGAGCTGGCAGAGAGCCAAAGTGGGGATTAGATTTCCTGGTTTTGGATGCTGTGTTACCACACATTGGTTACTTAAACTCTGTGCCTCACTTCTATTTTTCACTTATCTTGTGGTTTGCATCTACACTATATTAATTACTTAGGAGACGATGTGGTGTAAGCACACAGTAAGTTCTAGAAATTGTTATTATCAAGATTATTAAAATTCTTTATTATTATTAAAATATTTATTTATTATTATTTATTTATTATTGTTATTAAAATTATTTTCAAGCTTACCCCTAAGCATACTCTTCCCTGCCTCCTTCTTTCCATCTTTACTTCCTTCTTTATTAAATATTATGGAGGAAACATGTATTCCACATTCCTATATGTGCTGGGGGAAGAAAGATAGCACAGATCCCCTTCCTCTCTTGAAGAGGAATGTTTGTTCACGAGGAGGAGCTCAGCAGCAGACACCTAGATCTACTAGAGAGGCATGACTGATGACTGCTATAATGGAAAATAGGGTAAAATAAAGGGAACATGTGCCTTGCAAGTACAAAAGGGCCAATGATGGAAGGGAATTTTAACTAAACTAAAGTGGATAATTGCTCCAGACTTCACAGTAGACAACATGTGCTCGCTGTTTTAAACGTATGCCAAGAAAGTTCTCATCTAAACCCTGTACTTTGCTGTGTCAATTTGTATTTGTCCCTGGGGTATTTGGAAGCACAGATTGTCATAAAATAGGTCTTACCTGGAATAAAGGGGACCTGACAGATGCACAGGAGTGGCCGCAGCCTGTAGAGCAATGAGGAGGCAGCCCTGTCTCTAGTCGCCATAGCAAGGTGATGCTGTAACAGCATCTCACAAGGCGTAAAACTGAGACCTCAGGAGGTGAAGCGACTTGCCATGGTTTCTTATTTGTAAAATGGGAGTTAAAGATCAGCCTCTTGGAGTGTTTGTTGTTAAGCTAGAGGGTGAGTGGTTTCAGCATCTCCTGCAGGCAGGCCGAGAGTGACAGTGCTTGATCATGGATGATGAGGGCTAGGGAAGAAAAGTCCCCCAGACTGGAGGAATGAATGATGTGGGGGCAAGATGGGAGCGATCCCAAGCAGGAGTTTGGGAAAGTAGTTTATTAAAGACATTAAGACAGAAACCCAGTTATTAGATGTGAATCAAGGTTGAGGTGAGATTAATAGCAAAATTTGCCACCTGACTCACTAGAAAATCTATAGGGGCTTCTCTGGTGGCACAGTGGGTTGAGCGCAGTGCTGTGAAGCTGTCTGCAGCCTCTGCAGTGCAGGTTCGATTCCTGGCTGGCAAGGGAGATACCCACATGTTGCGGCAGACCTCTCCTGTCTCACCTACTACTCCTTCAGCAGTGCTTTCCAGTCAGTCTGCCTGTTCTGTTCCCTGCTCTGTCTTTGGTGATTCCTCTCATCCTCCCACACTTCTGGCCTGTACCCCAGCTCTTATATAAATAAATAAATCTTAAAAAAAAAGAAAATCTATAAGCCTCAATAACTCTCAGATAGGGTGAAGCCAGGCTTGTGTTTTGGGTACAGGTAAGAGAAGTAGAGGTCAAAGTGGACAGTTATGACATTGAAAAAATAGGTATATCATAGACACATTTTTGAAAATTTATTTTATATATTTTGATATCATTGTTGATTTTTAAATGATGTTTGCTTCCCCCTGTCCCCCATGTGTAGTCTCCATAGAATTTCCTCCACTAATGCACCCATGCACCATCACTACAGTTCCCTGTGCTCCTCCCTCCCTCCCTCTGATCCCTGTATGAATTATTATTCATAATAATCATTAATACTTAAAATTTCTTGTCTTTAATCTTTAAATAAAAATGGATACCACATGTTAGCCTGCCTCAATGCTTTTCTTGGGTGCAAAGTTTCAGTTAGAAAGCCTGAAGGTATTGAACTTGAAAACTGAGATTTTATTTTAATTTCCAGTCCATAGCAATCAATAATTATTTGCCTCCTGTCAGATTCCCCAACTATAAAGTTGGTACCATTCTTTTTCTATATTGGTTATATAATTGTTTCTAAAAATTCAAACACCTAAAGAGTATGAAATATTGACAAAGTGATTTTTTTTAAGATTTATTTTTATTTACGTTTACAAGAACTGGGGTACAGGCCAGAGTTGTGGAGGGTGAGAGGATTCATCAGAGACAGAGTGGGGAACAGAACAGGCAAATGCACTGAAGTACATTGCTGAGAGGAGCAGTGGGGAGACAGGAGAGGTCTGCTGTACCATGTGGGTTGCTCCCTGGCTGGGGATCAAACTCATGCTGCAGTGGCTGCAGATAGATTCATAGGTTGTGTCTTAACCCCTTGCGCCATCAGGGAGGCCCAAGACATGTTTTCAAGCACAGTGTCTGCTGGTTGAGTGTTGAAGGCTCCCAACTCTTCCTCGGGTGACTTCAGAGGCAGCACTAGCTGCAGATGGAAGCTATCAAGGGCTCACTGCAGCAACAGAGCAGAAGGCATCTCTCTATGCAGCTGACCCTCGTGCACTCTGGGGAGAAGCAGGAAGGTTTCAGCATATCATAAAAAGAATCTCTCATGTGGGTTCACTTATGCAACATCATGAAAGCAAGTCACTTTCTTCTTTCTCTTCCATATTGACAGTCTTCACTGAGTTTTATCACCAAGGGTGTGTTTATCTTTCATATAATTGCCTGAGACACTGGATTTACATGGAGCTCCATAATGTGAAGAATAAGAGAAAGATTAAGGAGACAGATTTAATCCTGTAAATGCTTTGCCTGCATTGATGGGGATGGACTTCCTTTCTAACTGAGACACCTATGATGTCTGCTCAGTGCTCTCCATGGATTAGGCGCACGAGTACCGGCCTCCAGCCTTGCCATGCTGCCACTACAAGTGTTACTTTTATTTCTCAGATTCTTCTATATTTGGCAGCCTATGCCCATAAAAATATTAATGTTCACAATAGGCTGCCCTTCACCCAGGTCAAAATTCCATGCAAATTAAAGCCAGGGGTGTAGTTTTCTTCCAACCAAAGTCAACTTTGCAACTGTGTTGTCCAGATGTACAGTGTCTGTGACAGTTTGTTTACGGACTGTATTTGGAAGACAGAGAAGCTGTTGTTCTGGCAGTTGACTGTTTGTAGGGCCTTTACTGGAAATCTGAATGTCTGGCTGACTCAGAAGATGGTGTTGTTTGGTTACCTGCCAGTCATCTTCCTTCTGAGCCTCAGAATCTTTTATACAGTTTAGCTTGCGATCACGTTCTATTAAGACACAGCTGTAGTTCAGGGCACTCTGCGAGGCATTACAAATTACATCCCTCAAGAATGGGTTGTCCAAGTCGATTAGTTATGATTCTGGGCATTGCTCTGAATGCCAATGATTTTCCAGCAGAGGAGAGAAGGGAAATGTTTTCCTACTGCTGATGAATTTGTAACTGCTTCAAAAGTCATTTAAAGTCATCTTATTTTCTAACTGGCTACATCTACACAGATATGTAATAAAAATCAGAAACCAGGCTATGTCTTCATAATATTCAAAGCTCCTATACAATCAGTCTTTAAAAAGTCAAACTGAGAGTCTGTTTCATTTGCAGGAATGTCAAGTGTTATTAGCAAAGATGGCTGAATTCATCTAAAAGAGTCTCACTAAAACACTGTTTTAGCTCAGGCTGCTAGAATCAAATATCATGACTGGGTGGCTAAGTCATCAAAGACATATCACAGTTCTGGAGGCCAGAAGCACAAGGTCAGTGTGGTCAGCTTCTGTTGAGGGGACCCTTCCTGGCTTGTAGCCAGCTGCCTTCTTGTTGTGTGCTCATATGGTGGAGGGGGAAGGAAAGGAGAGGAGAGGAGAGGAGAAGGAAAGACACAACAAACTCTCTGGAATCTCTTCTTATAGGAGAACTAATCTCCCAGATGCCCCATCTCCAGATACTACCACAATGGTGGCGGGGGTGGGGGGATAAAATAGGAATTTAGAGGGAGCACAGTCAGGTTACAGCCACCTGCTCTGTCGCTGTGTATATAAACCATTACCAAGTGTATAAATGATTTGGATTCTTCCATCTGTTTCAGATAGTGGTATGAGATTCTCAATATAAAATTGTCTTCACTTATTTTTATTTATCATTTTATTTTTTATTTTTTAAAATGTATTTATTTTTAATTGACGTAATATTTGGACACCCTCATCAGGCATCACCACTGTAGTGTACCCACCACCTCATCACCCACAGCCCCCGCCATACTTCAGGCTACTTCCTTCCCTCTCTGTTCTTACCCCCTCCCTGACCCCAGCCCCTGGTGCTTCAGTTCAGCTATCAAGTGTTACTTTTCAAGCTTGTCTTTATCTCACTCTTGGTTTAGTTACTTAATATTACATATATCCCTCATATTAGTGAAACCATCTGGTATTTATCTTTCTCCTTCTGACTTATTTCACCGAGCATAATCCCCTCCAGCTCCATCCATGTTGTAGCAAATGGCATGAGTTTATCTATTTTGATTGCAGAGTAATATTCCATTGTGCATATTGACCATATCTTCCTAATCCACTTATGTGCTTTGGGGCCCTTAGCTTGTAATTTAGCTAATATAAATAACATGGCAATAAACACAGGAGAACAAGTTTCCATAATTGTCTTAGAATTTTGGGGGGTAGGTGCCTAGGAATAGAATTACTGGTTTGAGTGGCAGATTCATTTTTTAATGTTCTGAGACACCTCCATGCAGCTCTCCATGGAGGCTGGATGTGTCTGCATCCACTCCTGCCGTGTAGAAAGGCTCCCTTTTCTCATTCATTTCACTTTAGTTGAGACAATATAAGGTACGTGGCTATAATACCTACAAAATAATAGAGTAGGATTTATTCGTGTACTTAAAATAGGCACAACCCACAAAGAAACAAAAAAATTTGTATTTCTACTTCAAAAAAGACAGAAGTCACTGACATTAAGAAAACCAACCTACCTGGGTATTTTGTAGTTGAACTACTCATTCAATGAGCTAGAAGTTTCCAGAAAAATGCTAGAAGTTTTGACAGAGCATATGCAGATTTTAGTTCAGTAGTAAGTATAATTTATAAAACATTTAGTTTTCCCCAGAACAGCACAAAGTGTGGTTACTGGGCTGGTCTGCTGTGTCCTTCTGGCTTTGGGAGCAGAACAAGGGCTCAGGGGAGGCCTCTGGGTCACAAATTTAAAAGCCACGCTCCTTCACATTGCCCTGAAATGTGACAGAGCACATTTCAACGAACCAATTATGGCCCTTCTGAGTGGGCCAACCCTTGAATTTTCTGACACCAGCCCAATGGATCATTGTTGTTCACAGTTGGCACAGTGCTTTGACTTTCTTCCAAGAAATAGTTGTGATTAGGGAAAATTTCCACAAGATTTAGATACATCACTGTCCTGTCTCACTAGGTGCCCAAGCTTCACTGCATCTGTGAAGTGCTCAATGGGCCTCCCTGGGGTGCAGGGGTTAAGGACAGCACTATTAAGCTATCGCCAGCCACTGTAACAGACCAGGCAGAACAAAGAGAAACCCAACGCACAGCAGACCTCTCCTGACTTATCCGTTTCTCCCTTCAGAAGTGTATTTCGGTGGTTCTGCCTGTTCTGCTGCCCACTATGTCTCTGGTGAATCCTCTCAATGCCCGCACCTCTGGCCTGTACCCCAGTTCTTATATGCATAAATAAATAAATAAATCTTTAAAAAAAAAAAAAGTGCTCAAACTGTAGGCAACTCTTAATTTTACCTGGAAGATAAGATGATGACGTATAAATAAGTGTTCTTTGTTCTTTTTTAATGAATTATTTTATTTTAT